TATTATTATCACCATAATCATTATCATCATCCTCATCATTATAAGGCGCTGCACAGTGGCGACCAGCAATGGCATGTTCGTGATGTTCGGTACTGGTGCAATATCGTGTATTTTATATTGGTATCTATGTATGTTTGTATTCATGATTGCGTACTTATATGTGTATGCTTGCCATTGTAACCCAACTTTCCACAACAGGTATCAATACTATGTAATTTGTTTAATGCATTCATTTTCATTATTATTATTATTACTATTACTATTGCTGTTTTTCTGTTTCATGACAATTAGACTTTACGTCAAGTAAACCAATCTGCGAGAGGATGGAAACAATATTAATACTTCAAAGAACTGCATCGTATTACATCTCTATATCTCCTCTCTTACAACTGTAGAACATTGGGATAAGTGTTGTATTGAGTGCAGGGAGAATGTTTATCGCAAAGTGACAGTTAATGTAATAATAATGCTTACCACTTCCTTTTTGTACTTTTCGATTATGCATTTAAACGATAATTTGAAAGCAGAGCCCTTTGTTTCACTTGTTTTTATCTGTAGAATACCTATATTTCTATTGTCATTGACACAAACGTAGAAGTATAATTGGTCGCTTTTAAGGACAAGCGGGCTAACCCAGATTTTGGGGGTTTCCAGAAATCTTGACCTACACCAAAAGTGGGCATTGCCGTACCTCTTGGAGAAGTTTGGTTTCATTGGTGGGTATATTTGTTTGGTTATAGAGAAAACTCTCCCTGTCTTTTAAAAAAACTGAAAAAGGGTTTAAAAAAACAACTTAACCATCGATTTTCTCAAAACAGTATTTTTCGGGATAGCACCCTTGTACTTAAAAGCTACCAATTATTGTACTCTATAACTATAACAGCGAACGCGTCGACGTAATCCCAAACTCTGCATACTCTATGCAATATATTTTACCGGCTCAATATCCACTTCTACCTCCACTTCCCCGCCCCCTCTCTGGGTTTTGTTTTTGTTTTTGTTCTTTGTTTTTGTTTTTGTTTTTTTTGTTTTTCA